GGGTCCCTTTTAAGGGTCCTTTTTAACTATATTGGGGACCCCCTAAAGGGAGCCTCACTTTAGAGAACTACTTTTTTATGACTAAACTATAGCATACTAACTCCAAACATGAGTAGTAATGATTAATGATGATGGCATAGCAACGGTCAGAGTCGCAAAGCAGCTCATGCCAGCAACAAGAGTGCGACCTGAGCGATAGCATTAGTGCTAGTGTATCTGCGACCGGCATGCTCTTCTGGTGCTTTGGCGATCAAAATGGCGGAGTCACGGTGTGTTTGATTTGCGTTGTGCCCCTTGAACAAGCACGTTCAATCTTAGTCACCCTCCACAGTTTCATCGGTGATGCAGCTTCGTGATGTATGTTGGAGACTCCAATCTTACCTATTCAATGATCGACGCCTCAGGTGGCTGGTCTTGCGACGGCAGAAAGCAAGGCTTCTTGGTCGGTGAGATTTTGTCGGACGGGAGCATTGTAACCCGCCCAGTTTTGGTGGATTATTGCAGCTGCTGCCCTTGCTATTGGTGGCGTTAAATCAAAGTCGAAGCTTGAAAGCACAAGCCCCAATGTTTTTGGGCGCGGCTCATAACCCTGAAGCACAAACTCATTGCACCCCCAATAGCATGAAGCTCTGCTGCTGTGACTTTGAAACGCGAGCAATGCAACGCTTAGAAGCTCGCTGTGGTTATCCGCAGTTTTGAGAAGGCTTGCCTAGACCGAGGCGCCTACTCATGCTTACGCCAGGGTTTGTGACAGCTCCAACTACTCCGCGACTGCTACAGGCAAACTGCTTCCCTGCCGCATCGTAAGCATGAGCAAGATGTTGTCTTGGAGCGCGCCTCAGAATTTGCAGCCGTGGCCAAAGGCCGGAGCAGTTTTGCCCCTGTGAGCTTCTCTGAGAGAAGCCCCACATCTCCTGTCCCCGTGACGGTGGCAGGAGCACTATAGTGTTGCGAGGTTGGACATTGCGTGGAGAACGGGCGCGAGCATCAGGAGTCCAGGTTTTCCGACTTGCAATGGTTTTGTTCCACTGGTGTCCGAAGCATGCGGCCGGGTCAAGCTCGAAATCTTGCTTAAGCTTTCATCAAGCCCAACATAAGCCGCTAGATGGCCCAAACATAGAGCTCTTTTACAAAAAACCCACGCTGCCAGGTGAGACGAACAAGCAAAAGCTCGCAGAGGAGCGTGAAGCCCACCAATCCGTGGGTCTCTTGACGTCCATATCAGATGGGGGAACATATAGTCGCCCAGTATCTTCGCACTTGTATGTTCGGTTTTGTGTCCTCGAGCCAAAAAATCCCTGATGCTGGTAGTTCACAAGTTGTTCCCCTGCCTTGATTCTGAGAACGGCAGCCGTGAATTCGAGCAGACATACTTGGAGGATCATGGGA